CTCAACATGTGGACCTTAGGATTGCTTGAATGATCTCCTGTGTAACAGCTTGCTTCTCCCAGAGAAAGTGAGTTGAGAGACAGCAAGGAGGAAGCCACAATGACTTTTATGCCCTCATCTTGTACATTATACATTGTCTTCACTAGAAACAAGTCACTAAGTACAGCCCACACTGAAGAGGTGCAGATTTGGCTTTGCTTTTTTGAAGAAGTGTCAAAGAATTTGTAGATCAGAATTGTTTGTTCATTCATTCATCCTTTTGTTCAACAGACATTTGAATTCATACTGTGTTAGACAATGTGTTAGAACCAGTGCTTTTAATAGATTGCATTAATAGTCCATTCAAGTAAGAAGAAAAAAGCACGGTCTTTGTCTTTAAAATCACTACTCTTTATTTATTTTCTTTAAAGATTTTTTTTTATTTATTTGACACAGAGAGAGATCACAAGTAAGCAGAGCAGCAGGCAGATAAAGAGGGGGAAGCAGGCTCCCCGCTGAGCAGAGAGCCCGATGTGGGGCTCCATCCCAGGACCCTGAGATCATGACCTGAGCCGAAGGCAGAGGCCCAACCCACTGAGCCACTCAGGAGCCCCTAAAATCACTACTCTTTACATTCTGCTGTGGGAGGTGTGTATCCCATAACCATGCTTTCCCTTGTATTCTTTTGAAGGTTGTTTTTATTGTCTCTCTGTAGCTGCTGGCATATCTTTCCTAGTCAAAATGATAAAGTGATGACTTCCAGGTTAATAAGATCTAGAATTAATACTTTGCTGATTCACTCTTTTAATTCTTAGCAGCATATTTATATAGTTTACTTGATGATAGTTTGTAAGAAATATATGAAAGTCCCAAAGCATTTGAATTGAATAATTGAATCATATGTTACTTATTACATGACTAGTACAAGGAGCAAGAGACTAATTCAGCAAAGCAAACATCTCTTCAGAAAGAACTGGGACTGAATGTTTCTGATTTACTTGAGATACAAGTTTGGGACTGATGAATTAACTATTTTAATCTTGACACACCACTGTGGTTTTTATTTCTTGCTCTTCATCCTCTCTCCTCCCTGTTCTGCTTTTTTTTTTTTTTTTTTAATTTTCATACTTTTTTATTTGGAAATGAGATAACACTGTTATAGATACCCGACTATAGCTGGCCTTAGGTGAAATAAAATAATTAGTATTTACAGAAGGATTCCATTCTACGTTTTATTCATAAGGCATGAGCTACTTTTGAAAATAATAAAAGAAGCGGAGAACAAGAAAGTATAAGACATTTAGAAGATTATTACAGAGAATACTGGCAGTAAAAGTAGATGAAGTTTACCAGCTCACAGAGTGAAAATGAGAAAGAAAAGTTTGCAGACAAAGGATTAATCTGTGTAGGCAAAATACAGAGAAAATACGAATTTTGAAAAAGGACATCTTTGAGACAAACTGACACAAGTCTTTAGAACAGCCCAATTAGGGCCATGTAGGAGAAATTTTAAAATGGCCTGTCCCTTAAAAACTCCTTGTGGCATTATAGAATATCATTTATTAAGAGGATAACCTAAATATTCCAGGGACAAAAATTAGTTTACATAGGAGAAATAAATTGGCAGAATGGGATGCCATATTCCAACATAGGATGTTGGAAAACAATGTGTCTCAGAGTTTGGAGAAAGTGGTTTTGGGCCATACCTAAAGTATGAGGGAGGGATGAAATGTTTTCAGGCATGTGACCCAGAGTTTAACTTCTTATGTAAAATTTCTGAAACAGTTACTCGATCTTCTAGTAAAGACAGACACACACGCACATGAGAACGTGGGATTCAAATCAGGGGACTTAACTCAGAAGTACAATCAAAAGGTATCAGAGCCAAGGTCATAGGCCTTGAAAACAAGTAGACTTGTTTTCAGAAGTATAGATGAGGATGTTGGAGGGCTCAGAAGAGAATATCTTTAGGAAGCAAGTGGAATCACATTAAAGACATTTTTTAAGGGGTGCCTGGGTGGCTTAGTTGATTAAGTGTCCAACATGGTTAAGTGTCCTTGATCTCAGCCCAGGTCTTGATCTCCGGGTCTTGAGTTAAAGCCCTGCTTTGGACTCCATGCAGGGTGTGGCGCTTCTTTAAAAACAAAACAAAACAAAACAAAACAAAACAAACCCCCTTACTCAGAAACAAGGGTTTTCAGATCTTTGTACTCTTTCCAGTTACAGCTCCTTTTCTCTCACTATCTCTTTATAGCATTCTGCTCAGTCTTTTACATCCACCATTCTACCAAAGGTGCCCTTGTCAGGATCTTCAGTATCCTCCATGTTGCTGAGTTCAGCGGCCAGTTATAGATCTTCCTCATACTTTACCTCTTAGCAACATTTGGCATAGTGGATCAGTTCTTCTGTCTGAGGCACTTTCTTCATTTGGCATCCACACCACTGGGTTTTCCTTTTCTCTCATTGGCCTATGCCAGATTTTCCTGATATTTCTTTTTTCCTGGCCTTTTTGTGTTGGATCATTTCAGGGCTCAGCCCTTGAAATTTTTTCCTTCACCAAGTACACTTAGATGTCCAAGTTCATGCTTCTTTGAATATTATTTACATACCTATCACTCACAAATAATACTGGCTGCTCAACATTCTTTAGTCAACTCCAGGTTCCTATTTAACATTTTCTACTCGAATGTCTGATAGATATCTCAAATTTAACCATCTAAAACTAAACTGAATATATTTTCTCCAAACCTGCTTCTTCCACAGATTTTCCTACTTCAGTTAATAGTTAACTCTTTTATGTTTCTAGTTGTCCAGACTATAAAGCTTAGAGTCAACCTTGACTCCTTCCTTACCTTATTTTATAACCTGTATTAGAAAATTTTGCTGACACTGCTTTCATAATTTATTCAGAATCTGACCATTTCTCACCACTTTTTTACCCTGGTTTAAACTTCTGTCATCTCTTGCCAGTATTATTTTGATAGCTTTGCAACCAGGCTCCTTGCCTTTGACCTTGTTCCCCTTCAGTCTGTTCAAAACAGTAGCCAGAGTATTCCTCTTAAAACAGAAGTTAGGTAGTATCTGTTCTGTGTTCAGAACTCTTCAGTGGTTTTCCAGCTCACTTAGAATAAAACCTGCATTTCTTGCATTATCCTATAAGGGCCTAAGTGATCTGTTCCACCTAACCCTCCCCACCCACCCACCCTAACTTAATTTTCTCACCTCATCTGTTGCTTTCTCTCTTATTCATTCCATTCCAGACTTCTTGCTATGATCACTTCTGAAAGTTTTCACCCCAGGAACTTCCTTTTATTCTGCCTGAAATGTTCTTTCCCTAGATTTACACATGGTTCTCTCCCTCACAGGTGTGGGATGATCAGATGATCACTTCCCAGTGAGGTTTTCCCTAATTTCTAATTGCATGCCCTCAGCAACTCTTCAGTCTCTGTTTTATTTTGCTCCACAGTATGTATTATCTAACATATATTTATTTACTTCTTGTTTTGTTTAGTGTCTGTACCGTATACTGTAATTTTAAGAGGTCAGGAATATTTGTCCATTGGTTCATTATTGTCAGCACTAGAAGTAGTGCCTGGGAATATGGTGAAATAAAGCTTTATTGTAAAGAAAAGACTCGGTAAAATACTTGTCAATTTAAATCCATGGTCATGCTTTACAGTTGCCATGTACTATACTGTGAATATGTGAAGATTCAAGTTATTTCAGATCATTCAGATTCAAGTTATTTCAGATCATTTTTCTTAGTATTAAAACAATGTTAATTAGAGCTTGTTTTTGCCAGTATGGTAGCTTGGGGGGGGGGTATTATTTATCCTTTAGCTGTTGCTAATAGTCTGACTTGGTTCACAACCTGTTGCTGAATTTGTAATTTATATTGGAGAATGTGTGTGTGTACTCTTATGTATGTTAATATATAGCTATCTATGGCTAGACAGATAACATGTACAGTTAAGCTCATTTGCAGAACTATCATCTTCTACTAAGTGGTGATGGGCAATTAACAGGTAATTAGCCATAGTTCCAATGTTTAAGTAAATAAGGTGTTTAAATAGAAATGTAAGCCCTTACCACACTTTTTAAAAAAGCACAGGTTGCAAATTTGAGATAGTAAGTGAATTAATTGCAAATCAGAAGGTCATTTTATATTTGTTACTTGATAATAAAATATTTAGTTTTAAATTAGAGTAGGTTCTAATTTGGGATTAAAATATCTGATTGAGGGTCACCTGGGTGGCTCAGTGGGTTAAAGCCTCTGCTTTCAGCTCAGGTCATGATCCCAGTGTTCTGGGATCGAGCCCCACATCGGGCTCTCTGCTCAGCAGGGAGCCTGCTTCCCCCCCCCCCCCGTCTGCCTCTGCCTACTTGTGATCTCTCTCTGTCAAATAAATAAATAAAATCTTTTAAAAAAATCTGAATGATAAGTTGACTATTTTCAAACAATATCATTATTTACACATACTAATTTTTAATTGTTACAAACCATTATGCATTTTTATTTTTTTTTTAATTTTTTTAAAGATTTTTTTTTTAAAGGCAGAGGCTTTAACCCACTGAGCCACCCAGGCGCCCTCATTATGCATTTTTAAAATAAAGTTTGTATTCCTAGGGTTAACTTCTTTTAACAGTGCCAGGGCTAAAGGAATTCCAGTGCTTGATGGAGAAGCAGAGAGAGCATAGTGTGGTAGACCCACAGATAGTTTGGTTACATACCTCAGTAAACATTTCTTCCAGTTTGTCAGCTTATTTACTTTTAAATTATATGTGTGTTATCGTTGTCAGTCTTAAGGATGATATATACTTAAAACAAGGTTTTTTAAGAGGAGATGTAACTTTTCAAATAACCATCTTGATAGTTGTAAGGTTTTTGTGGACTTGTCAGATCACGTATTTTTCTGATATTACGGGGCTAACAAAGAGCTTCCCTAAGAGGAGTATTAGTTTTGCTATTTTTGTTTTGTGTTTTGTATTATTATTTTGTTTAATCCATGGTTTCTTTGTAGGAATCTTCTGCAGCTTATTCGTTGCGTGAGTAAAAACTAAGTCATATCCATAATTGCACTGAACTGGGCACAAGAAAACTGCCGTATATGTCACAGTATACTGAAAAAGAGCCAGCAGGTAAGCAGAGTTTGTCAGTTCCTCTACATTGAGGACTTTGTATTTTTCTCTCTAGATACCTTGAATAGTGTACATGAAATGGAGTCATGGTCTTAATTTAAGGCCATTTGATTGGTATATTGAAAATAAAGCTTAATTTCCAATTTTTGATATGAAAATAAGTATAAATAAAAATTCTTACTTTCTTTCTGTACCCCCTTGGCTACTATTGTGCTTCCATTTTGGAGACTATTCCTTTGGAGGAGTTGTTAAGGGTACTGTTTCTGGAGTCAAACTCTTCAGTTACTGGATGGTTACTAAATACTGAATTTTAACTTTAATTTTTTTGATCTTTAAAATGAAGTACAGTATCTACCTCATAAGTTTGTTTCAGGAATTAAATAACAATGTAAAACTTGATTACTCTACGTTATAAATAATGTGTTTTTTATCTGTGTTTGGAAGCAGTTATATTTGTTTTAATGCAATAAAACAAAAATATGTAATTGTTCCTTTGATTATTTCATATACCATGAGAAAATTTTTTTTACCTCTTGTATAATATATGTAAAATCTAATTGACTAAAGAGATTTAAACCTTTTATATATAGATGTGATAATGTTCTTAGTTAAAGGTGCTACTGTTTACTACTATATATCCTTCAGCCATCAGAACTTAGTATTAAAGTTGTTCAAATGTTGGTGGGTTTTGCTACCATAGTGTATACCATTGGTAGTTTTGGAAGGTGGGGTAGCATGTCTTTGACTTGGCTCATTGCTATTTTCTTTTGGAGAATTTTATCTGACCCTAATATTTGGAGTATGTTTTATTATGGTCCAGTTGGTTCTTCATGATAGTACAGATGCCAGTTAAAGAAGTTACCTATTACCTTGGATAGGAATGCATTCACTTTTAATGTAATTGAAACCATCATTTCATGTACTAGTAATTCAAGTAAGTATTAAGGAGTTATACATAAGGTACTTTACTTAGATAATTTGGAGGATCATTGTCCAATCCTTAATGAGCTTTTGTAGTATGGTGTATGAATTTTGCACATGAAAAATTGCTTTTATTAGGTTACATCATAAAAATCTAAAATATCTTAAAGGTACCAAACTTTAAAAGCTATTTTTGGGGGTAAAGAGGCATATAACTCTCATAATATTTCATGTTTACTTTTCAGGTATGTTTTACAGTATTAATAAGGTGTACTGGATGTTCAGTAGCATATGATTTGGCAAGTAATAGCATTTATGTTGAAATATTGCCCCTACTGGTCACCAGAATAAAAGTCATTGTATGCCTCTCTTATTTTTAACTCTGTTTTTCAGCAATGGATCAAGAATCCAGCAAGGCTGCATGGCCCAAACCAGCAGGAGGATATCAGACAATCACAGGCAGGAGATATGGAAGAAGACATGCATATGTCAGTTTTAAACCATGTATGACCAGGCATGAAAGAAGTTTAGGTCGGGCTGGTGATGACTATGAAGTGTTGGAACTAGATGATGTTCCAAAGGAAAATTCCTCAGGTGCGCAACATGGGATTATATGAGTTATCAAAAAGCATGTAGGAATTGATCTTGTAATATTTGAGATTGTGTGTGGGTTTTATGTGTCTGTGAATACAAATATTTTACATTTCCTCTCAAGAATTCTATTTTGATATTTTAATTGAATTTAATATTAATACTATATACAATTAAACATAGACGAAAATAGAATACAGTCAGTCATTAAAATACAACTACATTGCCATGGCAGTGATTACTTTATCACATCCTTCAGCCAGTGGAGATCATCAGTTTTCAATAAAAAAACTTTTTAATGTGAACTGAATACATTTTTCTTGCATATTATGTTTAATAGCTTTTTTGTTTTAATTGTATCTCCAAATAATTTAGGTTGGCTAATTTGATTTTTTAAATCATTTTATGAAATATGAATGTCAAATAATAGTTATTTAATTAAAATTTCTTAATTATTCTGTGGTCTGGGAAAGTATTTTGCATATATCCATGTACTTTAATTACGCATCTTTGGGCTGTACTGTGGTCGTCTTCTTATCCTGAGCAAATTTGATAATTCTAGATTATTTTTACTGTCGTTTATAAATAAGAGCCTAAATTATTAGCTAATAAGTTCATTCTGTTAAAGAAGCCTTTCTCTGATAGGATGAGACTGCTCTTTAGTTATTTATAATTTATAAATTTTTGTTCCAACAAAACGGGACATCCTCCAGCAAAACTCAGATGTCATCATTCTTTATTATTACATTAGTAGTAATAAAAGGTAATCAAGCTTAAAGTGATTTATAGAGTAGATATGATTTTATTCTTGTCTCAAGATATGACAGACTATGGCAAAGAGATTCAACTTGTTGACTTTTTGTTGTTTTGCAGTCATAGCTGTAACATAACTAAAGTTAACTCATTATTGTAGATGCATTATAAAGAATCCATATTGGGTGTAGAAATCTAATATTATATATCTGGGAACTGAGATATAATCTTCTGAACTGACATCAAACACAATCGAATTTCATTTCTGTTAGATCTGTAACCTGTTCTTTTATCTCTGAAAAGTACTGTTGCAGTTATTTTAGCTGCCCATAATAAAAGAAGTTAAGTTTGAATTGTGCACCCTAACAACTAGGAGGGCAGATTGGTTACCCTATGACTTGACTTATACCTCTCCTTTTAATGTCTTTTACAGAATGTTTTAGGTATCTGGATTTAGGCGAAAAACCTCCAAAAGACATCTGAGGGAGAGGATACTGAAGGGCTATACAATGGCATAAATGAACTCATAGGGTAACTGGTGTGCCCTCTCAGTTAAGGGTGGGAGCATAGAAGTACCTGCCAGAGAAATTCACTCATATTCAAGCGCATAATTATTAGTATAATATCTGCTTAAATAGTCATTAGTAAATAAAATTATATTTAATGTCTCCAAATATGTTTTCTTTATTATCTGTGAAGGTTCCAGTCCATCGGATCAAGTTCATTCTTCTTTACCCAATGACACTTTATTTGAAAAAAGTGAAACAGAAATTCCCATTTGTGATACAACATTGAATCAAACCATTGAGAGCAATCCATCCTTTGCTGCAGTACATCATAGCGAGGAGGGCAGGGAGACTTTAGGAAGCAGTACAGATCTTCATAATCACTCTGAGGGAGAATATACTACAGAAGCTTGCAATGCTTCAAGTGTACAAAATGGAATTTCATTGGTTCAGACTGACTCTTACGATCCAGATGGCACACATGGAGAGGCCAATGACCGTCTTCAGCTTTCTGCAGAAGTTGTGGAAGGTGGTGGCTATCAGGAAGCATTGGGCAATACAATATTTGAGTTGGCAAATGGAGAGGTAGAGGCATACACTGGTCTTTCACCACCAGTTCCCTCTTTTAACTGTGAAATAAGAGATGAATTTGAAGAGCTAGATTCAGCACCTTTAGTCAGAAGTTCTACTGGTGATACTGAGTTTGTCAATGAGAACAATCAGGAATTTCAGAGGTCCTCTTCTGAAGATGAAGTTGTTAGAAAGAAACAACAAAATGATACTAGCCAGGAGAGTCAGAGAGAAAAGGCAGCTGAAAATGCAGTGTGTGGTCCCGGGCATATCTGCAGTGAACAAAATACTAGTGATAAGGGAAAGAACCAGGGAAGTTTTCCTGAACAGGTAGTAAGGCCCAAAGTTAGAAAACTGATAAGTTCAAGCCAGGTGGACCAAGAAACAGGTTTTAATAGGCATGAGGCTAAACAAAGAAGTGTTCAGAGATGGAGGGAGGCTTTGGAAGTTGAGGAAAATGGCTCAGATGACCTATTAATAAAATGTGAAGACTACGATGGAGAACATGACTGCATGTTCTTGGATCCACCTTACTCAAGAGTTACGCATAGGGAAACAGAACATAACCAAATAACAGCGGAAAGTGGAGCCACAGCAGGAAGGCAAGAAGTGGTGGATAACGCCTTTTGGAACGGCTGTGGAGATTATTACCAGCTGTATGACAAGGATGAAGATAGGTAAGATTTTGTACTTTGTCAGATTGTGTGGTAAGCAAAGTGGTTTATTTCTACTAACCATAATGTTTGATGGATGGCCTCTTTGACATAGTCAGGGAATTAGGTACTTTGGCCAAATATTCTTATTTTCTCAGTGCTAACCACACATGCAAACTGCTGACTATTTATTTACAGAAACTTTCTTTGGGGCATTTTAGGAGTTTATAGAAATTATAATTTCAGATAATGATGATTAGTTATTAACAAAAGGATAGAGATACTAATTATTTCAGTTCTTAGTAATAGTATTTCAGTTCATAAACTATAAAGTGAACATTTATTATATTTTTAAAAAAATTCTGTGTTAATTCATCCTGGGCTTAAAAAGTGATTTAAGATCACAGAAAATTTTGATAATATTGTATGAACTTTGCCAATATTTATTAATGTCACCTGTTTCTCTCTTCCTCTTGTTTGCTCTTTTTTTAAATTTTTATTTTTTTAAAGATTTTATTTATTTATTTGACAGAGATCACAAGTAGGCAGAGAGGTAGGCAGGGGGAGAGAGAGAGAGAGAGAGAGAGAGAGAGAGATAGGAGGAAGCAGGGAGCTGAGCAGAGAGCCTGATGTGAGGCTCGATCCCAGTACTCTGGGATCATGACCTGAGCCGAAGGCAGAAGCTTTAATCCACTGAGCCACCCACGCGCCCCCTTGTTGCTCTTTTTATCATTAGGTTTATTTTTTACCTATTTATAGGCAAAATGTATATATAAAAATATATACCATACCACAGTGTGGTATATATTATTTCCCCCATTTATAGACCTGGAAACTGAAGCACAGGAGAGTTGACTTCCCAAGATAACGAAGCTAGTAAATTCTGGAGCTGGAATTTGCATTTCTACTTACTGCCCAATACAAATGGGTATCTCAAGAGAACATACAACTTTTTTTTTCTTTTTTTATAAGAGGGAGAGAGAGAGAGAGAGAGAGCGTGAGCAAGGTGAGGAGTTGAGGAGTGGATGGGCAGAAGGAGAGGGGGAAAGAATCTTTAGCAGGCTCCATGCCCAGGGCAGAGCCAGACTTGGGGCTTAATCTTAACAACCCTGAGATCATGACCTGAACCAAAATCAAGAGTCAGATGCTTAACTGACTGAACCACCCAGGTGTCCCACAGCTTTTCATAGAGTAAGCATTCTGTATTCCTCGTATATAGAATCTTTCCGCCCCAAACTGTAAGACCATAAAAAGAAGAGAGAAATGGAAAATTTCTTTGTCCAGCTTCTGACTTTTCATTACCCTGGAGTACAGATTTTCAGACTTTGGAGCTAATTGGAACAGATCTTGCTCAGTTACAGTGCAGTTTCAAGATCTTACTGACTTGTAGAAATAATGGTTACTTTTTTTTTTTAACTAGAGAGTACTACAAAGGAAGAAATTTTTCCTCTTAAATATGAATACATTTTATGTATTTCATGTCACAAAATTAATAAAATGTATTTGGTTTTCTTTGGACATATGGATAAAGCTTGTATAATGTAGCATAAGTAACTTGTAGAAACAGCTGAAATATAATTTCTACTATTGTCTTTTTTTTTTAAAAGATTTTATTTATTTATTTGACAGACAGAGATCACAAGTAGGCAGAGAGAGAGAGGGAAGCAGACTCCCTGCCGAGCAAAGAGCCTGATGTGGGGCTCGATCCCAGAACTCTGGGATCATGACCTGAGCTGAAGGCAGAGGCTTTAACCCACTGAGCCACCGAGGTGCCCCATCTACTACTGTCTTGAAGTTGTAAACTTCAAGGGCTAGCAGACAGTATTTATATAACCTACTGTTTTTTAAGTCTAAGGGTAAAATTCATTAAGAACTTCTCCCTAATTTATTTGTTTTTTCAATTTAGGCCCACAGTCTTTTATGCAAAATCCACAAAGTTCTTTTTAAAATGGAAATTGAAGTCAGAACCTTAATTGGTACTAACTTATTTGATGCAGATCTGGATCTGAACTAACGTGAGGCCTTTTTTTTAAACTTTTTAAACTTTTTTTTTTTTTTTTAAGATTTTTATTTATTTATTTGACAGAGATTACAAGTCAGCAGAGAGGCAGGCAGAGAGGAGGAAGCAGGCTCCCCACTGAGCAGAGAGCCCGACGTGGGGCTCGATCCCAGGACCCTGGGATCACGACCCGAGCTGAAGGCAGAGGCCTTAACCCACTGAGCCACCCAGGCGCCCGCCCCCCCCTTTTTTTTTTTTTTGAGGCCTTTTTTTGAAGCATTCGTAATATTTATTGCAGAAATATGAAAGTGTTTGACTACTGAGTTTTGGGGTTAGACCCCACTGGGAATTATTAAATAATACATCTAAATCTCAGCAGGAAAAAATCTGACTTTTAAAACATACTCAGCCCTAAGATTTTTGGATTGGATTATGAACCTTTACTATACCTCTTGGGTTACTATTAAAAAATAATAATAACATCAACTTACCATTTTAGATAACTTATCTTTTTCAAAGTGTAACAGTGTTGCATTTTTACTCCAGTTACATTTTTGCTTTCTTGAAGAAAATAATTTAAGTTGGACATACCTTCATCTTTGGAGACACACTAATCAAAGCTAAAACCCCCCCTTTTTTTTTTTTTTTTTTTGTTTTTTAAGTCAGGCCTAATTTCATATAATAAAATTGATAAACCTTTTGCATCGTTTATCAGCCTCAAAAGTAGTTTTCTTGGCTCTTCGTTTAAATTGAGTCTGTGTGTGTTTGTATGTGTGTGTGAATAGGGTTAGTATTTTATTTGCCTAGGATGATTGTGGACTTTGAATGGTTGGTTATAGGTTGTTGTCTTAATATGTTTAATTATAATTTGGTTCCTTAAGTGATACACCAGTATTCTAAATAATGATAGATTTTTTTTTTTTTTTTTTTTTTTTACAAATAGAATATACAGAGGAAGAAAACAGTTAGTAGAAACTTCTTTTTCTTTCATTTTTTTGGTAATATATTGATTTACAGAACCTGAAGTTGAGTTGGCCTTGAAAGATGAAACTAATTTTGGAGCAATCTTTAAGACACATTGGAATGCCAGAAACACTTAGGGATTTTTTGTTTGTTTAAAACTACCATCACAGAATAAATTCTCAAGGATAATGATTTTACCTAGGATTCCACTCCCTTTTGGATCTGTAACCCTTGAGATAGGTTTAAGACCAAATTGCAACCGTCTGGACAGATTGAGGAGTATTTCTATGCTGTTTCCGGTTCTTCTGCCCTCAGCTCCCTCCAAAGGATCACAGTTGCCAGAATGTCTTTTACTATGCTGTCAGATAAAGGTTGAAATCCATACATTCCTACTTAGTTTCATTTTGTCACTTGTTCATCTACTTGGTGTTGATGCTGTAGTCCTGCTGAGTTCTGATAATAGCAGACTGGAGAAATGGGGAAACAAAGTGGCTACTCAATGAGTGTCTTGAGAAAGAAGGTATAAATACCCTTTACTTTGAGTCTGAGATTCTTTTTGAGTTTTCTTTGCTTTGTAAAACTTAAAGATGCTGTACTTGAAAATTTTTCTTGTCATGTTTATATTATAATAGCTACAAATAGGACCCTCTTATCCAGAACTTAACTAAAATCACCGTGACATTTTTAGTTATAGAAATGTTGGCCACTTTTTAAAAATATAGTTAAAAAAATACATAGTTCATATATTCTTTAAAAGTGAAAAGTATTTGAATGAATGCATGATCGATTTCCATCCTGAAAACTTTTTTAAATGATCACTTAATCATATCTGAAACGTTACACTCTACGGAATAAGCATTGCAGCTGGTAGAATTGCTCTGAGCTGTTTGACAGGAACTGAACACCACCTTATTAAATTAGAATTGCGAGGGGAATTTTAATAGGCAGTATGTAATTACCAGACTTGGAATTAGACCAAAGAGCTAAGGTTAACATCCTGCTCTTTTGAAATATACTCTGAGAACTTTAATAACTGTTTGATGACAAGATCTTGAGTTGAACAGAACCTTTTAACCATGCCAGCACATTTTAACCTTGGGTCTAAGTGAAGGAAGAGGCATACCATCCACTGACCATTTCTTAGAGCAGTTGAGGTTTCCTTCACAGTTTTTCTGTCCCTAAGCCTTGACATTGCTTAAAAGGTTAAAAACAAAAAACAAAAAACTTACCTAAGATAAATGTTGGATGTTTTTGTTGTGGATGATGTTGAGAAAATAAAAGGAGTATTAGCTCTTTAGTTGATTTCAGTTTGTTATATTCAAAAAGGATTTGTCGAAATCTTCCTAAGTGTCAGACTTTCTGCCAGGTACTCTGTAAATGGAAATAATGACCCCTGTTCCCTTGGTGTTCACCAGCCTTCTGAGGAAGATAAAACATAAAGGTAATTATCATGAGACTAAATTAAGCTCCTTGCAGAAGGAGCTCCTCTGATATCCCTACAAATAAAGCATCTGTGAGCAGCCAGCAGAGATCCTAAAGCATATGCTGTAACATTTTAGCAAACCTTTTTACCTTATTTCCAAGTTCATAGTAGTTTAGAAGGAGTAAATTAGGGCTAAAGAGCTTTGTTCCTCAGGCATGTTAGGGAATTACAGATGACAACATTCTGATATTTAGGGGAAAGACTGGAAAGTTGTAAAATGCAGGCACAGTTCAGAACCATCTGGGCCTTATTTACTAAATGAAGTAGACTTATAGATTGGAACAACTACCATTTGTAGCATTGTATTACAGCATAGTTCATTGTTAATGATAAAATGTCCCAGACTGCTTAGATTATTATATTCAGTATACTGTCTGAAAATGATATGTCCTAACATCATTTCCATCCAGAGTATTTTCAATAAAATTCAAAAAGTGTTTTTGATCCTCAGCTAGTCACATAACAAAATTATCCAAAATATAGTTCAGTTTTTATGGATGTGATAAATGCCACAGAAGACTAACAAACCAGTTCTTTGGGGGAATTTAAGGAATAAGATTGCTTATGGATGCTTTTACTTCTGTATCATATTTCTATTTAAGATTCGTACTATACAAATTCTTATTTGTGTAGAAATCACATATAATTTTATTCTATATGTGAGAAAATGTTTTTGGTTCACAATTGAATGTGTAAAATGTAACATTGAAGTTACAGTTGACTGATTTTGAATATAGCTCTAAATGCTAATGAGAGACCATATGAAAATCGAAGTGGTACTTAAGTTTTATTTTGAGAATTTAAAATTTTTTAACTCATTTGCTGTTATATTCAAGGACAAATGGGTCCTCACTATCCCATCATTGTTTTGTATCCTATTTGTTCTGTTGCTTATTCTACTTGAAAAGTTATTTTTAAATCTTTTCTCTCTCTGATTTTAGTCCCATACACTCCTGTCACTCTCAGTAAATAACTTTGTTTCTTGCTTTCCTGGAGATGGTAAAATGATTAAATCTGAACTTTTTCTTGTTTTCCTTTTCTCCATATAGCAACATGTTAGTATCCTTTCCTGTTTTTTTCTTTAATGAAGAGAGGTGACTAGTCTCATTCTGTGTCTATAGTCATATCCAACACCTGACTTTATTAATCTTATACCAAAGTTGCTTCCCTCTACCTCATTCTGTAATTTTCTAAACCCCAAGGGGAAACCTTCACTTGATCTTGCTTTTCCTTTAACCACTTGCTTGTTTGTTTTCTGTTCCACTGCTGAATTTTCAGAATAAATATTCCATACCCACTGTTTCTGTTCCTGCACTCTGCACTTTTAAATGCCTTGAAATCTAACTCCCAGTGTTATTTCTATATTCTCTGATGTTAACAGTGACCTCTTCTTTATCACATCCAGTTGACTTTTCTTGGTACACGTTTTTGTTTTGTTTTGTTTTAATGCTTCTGTTAAGCAGTTTGTTCACCCTTTCCTGTTCTGTGATTTCTTTTCCATTGACCTATGTTTGGTTTCTCTTTGCTGTGTCTTCTCTGAACCTCAGGGGTCTGCAAACTTTTTTAAAAGGGTGACCAGATAGTAAATATTTTAGGCTTTGTGGACCAAAAGACAAAATCAAGGATACTATATAGGTACTTACATAACTGTTTAAAAATGCAAACAAACAAACAAAAGGCAAAAGACATTCTTAGCTTCCAGGCCATTAAAAAACAGGTGGCCAGGGGTGCCTGGGTGGCTCAGTGGGTTAAAGCCTCTGCCTTCGGCTCAGGTCATGATCCCAGGGTCCTGGGATCGAGCCCCGCATCGGGCTCTCTGCTTAGCGGGGAGCCTGCTTCCTCCTCTCTCTCTGCCTGCTTCTCTGCCTACTTGTGATCTCTGTCAAATAAATAAATAAAATCTTTAAAAAACAAACAAACAAACAAAAAACAGGTGGCCAGATTTGGTTAATGGGTCAGAGCATAGTTTTCTGACCCCTGGTATAAAGAGAGACTAAGACTAAAGCGGATTGGGTGACCAGGAGGCTGATTTTGACGTTCAGTAAGACAAACCAAGGGTTCAGAGTAGATTTTCTTAGGTAGAGAAAAGAGGAAAATGGTGGCATGCTGGTTGGAAATCCAGTTGAAATGTCTAAGCAGACAGCTTATATAATAAAGTACTACCACCTTTACTAAATGTTTGTCATTTTCCAAAAATTATTCTAAACATTTTATCTACAATATTCATTTAAACATCATAAACCTGACCTGGAAAGGAAATAACAGTATTTGAGTAGGAAAAAAAAAAAAAAAAGTTGTTAAAAAAAAGATCTGCTGGGGTGCCTGGGTGGCTTAGTGGGTTAAAGCCTCTGCCTTTGCCTCTGGTCATGATCCCAGGGTCCTGGGATCGAGCCCCACATCGGGCTCTCTGCTCAGCAGGGATCCTGCTTCCTCCTCTCTCTCTCTCTCTCTCTCTGCCTGCCTCTCTGCCTGCTTGTGATCTCTGTCTGTCAAATAAATAAGTAAAATCTTTAAAAGAAAAAGAAAAAAAAAGATTTGCTAACAGGTACTGATGGCGTATTATTTACCAGGCTCTGTTAAAATGTTTTGTAGGTATTAATTCATTTACTTCTCATATGAGCTCAGTGAATTATTAGGTACTGTTACTAAATTCACCTGATGTGTGAGTGATAAAGGCACAGTAAGGTTAAGTTACTTTTTCACAACTACTAAGTGGTGGGTTCAAATCCAAGCAGACTGACTCCAGAACCTGTGTTCTCAACAACTATACCTTAAGACATAGCATTAATGTATGACTGCAGCAAAAATAGGGAAGGCAGTAGGTAAGTGGTTTAATTTTATGAAATATTGCTTTAGTAAAGTGAAGGATTTTGGAGTAATATTATGTATGTGCTATTTGATATAAATTAAAGCAATAGTGATATTTAAAATGCATCTTTTAAGTGAGGAGAGGGAATGAGATTAAATTTAGGGACACCAATTAATAATTGACTTCCAGGTCTAGGTTTGGAAAAGAATACTGGAGCCAGGGTTTTTAGGGAAAATGGAGACAAAGGAGACATTTTACAGAAAGAATGGAATGTAAAAAGGATTTAAACATAGGAGTTTATGAGATGTCAAAGATACATGATTTTCAGCTTGTGAGCAGGGAAATACCGTTAGCAGATAGAAAATCAAGAAATTTACCTGTCAAATAAGTTTTGTTTTGTAGCTTTTGAAAAGGAGGGTGAAAAATCTAAAACTTTCTGGATGGCTAGGTCGTCAGGGCTAGTATATATATTTAAAAGTTACCTATTTAGTGGTATGGATTATATATAATGAGTAATAATGATACAGGGCTGGGATATGCAGATTTTTTCCCTAAAGGGCCAGATAGTATATATTTTAAATTTTGTAAGAGGTAGAATTAAAGACAAACTTATAAAAAAAGAAAAGAAAAAACATATTTTTAATCCAGAGATCCTAGGAAAAACAGGTAGAAGGGCCAAATTTGGCTGAAAGGCTGAATTTACCAATCTGTGATGTAGGCTTCTTAAAGATATTGACTATTGATCATATTCTTTTTATATTACAGTTTGGAGGTAGTCCATCAATTATTTCACTAAGTTAAAAAAAATTTGGAAGTTTTCAGATATTGTTTTTCTGGACAGGATCATAAAATGCTTAAAATATGAGGTTTCCTTTTTAAATAAGTTAAGTTGCCAGAAATTAATAAAGAAAGCTTACTGTAATTGTTAATGATATACCAAAATTGGAACTGGAATATAGCTTCAAATTTGAGAGGCTTCACAGTTGAGGAAACTTAGTTCAAGAACTCTTTTAAAACTATTATCTATATTAGATTTTTACACTGATACAAATCTAGAAATGATTTACTTAGATTATTTTTTGGATTACAGAAAATTTTACAAAATAAAAGCAATTAGGGTCCTATTCAACTGAAGGAATATCTTTTACTTGCTATGCCAGAGCTATATAGCATTCCTTCTCCAGAATGCTTGTGCTTTGCTACCTATCATTTACTGAAGATTGGAAGTTGATTTTACTTTTTTACGTCTAACTTCTCAGAGCTTACATTACATTAGTGCTATTCTTTTTTAATAGCATTTTGATCTCTTCGGTTTATCTGCCTATAGAAGGAGGAACTCATTAACTAGTTAATATATCATTATTAATATAACCACTAGTAATACATCATCATAAAGAAAAGTTATTTCCTACTAATTATGGGAATTATAATTATATAATATATATATAACTATAATTCTTTCAGAAACAAATTAAAATTTATAATTTTTTTTTTTTAAATCATGGCACCAAAGGGAAATCTTTAAGGGGATTTTTTATTTTTTAAGATTTTATTTATTTATTTGACAAAGAGATCACGAATAGGCAGAGAGAGAGGGGGAAGCAGGCTGCCTGCTGAGCAGAGACTCTAATGCAGGGCTTGATCCCAGGACCCTGAGATCATGACCTGACCTGGAAACAGAGGCTTAACCCACTGAACCCCCCAGGTGCCCCAAAAGGGTTCTTGATCAGAATGGTTGATATGGTTGGAAAGGGCATTTAAGATTTATTTTCACCATTAATAAGTACAAGATAACTGTACTTTAAGGAGTAGTTAAATGTAACTAAATTAACCAAAGTTAAAAAATATAACCAAAAGTCATTTTTTGAGGTTCTTCATTAACCCTTCTATCGCATGTTTTGGTTCCTTATCTGCATATTTTCTTGCAGTGAAATTTATTTTGTGTTCACAGTTCTACCAAAAGACTTTAGTAAAGATTAGTCAGTGCAGCTTTTTATGAATTTGAATCTCATTTTACTTTAAAGTCTTTTGTAAAAAAGGAAGGAAAAAATAGTTAAGCTTTTGAAACATGGCAATAGTGGAAATTTATTCATAGAGGATATGTCCCCAGTTGTCAGTATGTAATTAGAAAGTTGTTTTAGTCGGGGTAGATGAGTAATAAATCTATTATTTATTTCAGAAAGCATTTAATTTATGATTACCAAATTAAAATTTTATTTAGATATACATCTAAAAAATAACCCTGTATCTAAGCACCATGGAATTACTTACTTTAGTGAAGAAAATAATGAATTGACATTTCTGTAACTTGCCATATGCTTTATTCATCGGAAAAAGTTACATTCTGCTGAATGTATTTATTTCTGTGTTTATTTTTAAAATATTTTTTAAAAATTGACTTGGCACCTGATGAGGCATAGTCGTACACTGTATACTGTGATGCCTCCAAATGACAAATGCACAAATAGTGACAGTTACTGTGTTTCTGTTCTGAATTTGCAGTTCAGAATGCAGTGACGGAGAATGGTCTGCCTCATTGCCTCATCGGTTTTCTGGTACAGAAAAAGATCAGTCATCAAGTGATGAAAGCTGGGAAACTTTGCCAGGAAAAGATGAGAATGAACCTGAATTACAGAGTGATAGCAGTGGTCCTGAAGAAGAAAACCAAGAATTGTCTCTACAGGAAGGGTATGTTTAACAGTGAGATTTATTATTTTTATGTGTATCGTCTGAGAATTGTATCCCATCACATTCAGATGTTGGGGATGCCGTTAATTTGCATGTACAAGCCCTATGTAGGACCAGTAAATCCTACTGATTTTTTTTTTTCATTATGCTTTTGGTATTTTACAAAGATCAATTAGATTGAAAATTCTAGTAATTTCATTATCTTTTCTTGAGATACAGTATATATTTCCACTTTGCGTTAAAGAAAACTTGGACATTTAAAAGATGTTTTGACGGGGCGCCTGGGTGGCTCAGTGGGTTAAGCCTCTGCCTTCGGCTCTGGTCATGATCTCAGGGTCCTGGGATCGAGCCCCGAATCGGGCTCTCTGTTCATTGTGGAGCCTGCTTCCCTCCTCTCTCTGTCTCTGCCTCTCTGCCTACTTGTGATCTCTCTCTCTGTCAGATAAATAAATAAAATCTTTAAAAAAAATAAAAGATGTTTTGATTGAGTTAGGTGTGAGTGAATTAGAGCTGCTTTTGCTCTGCAGTGGAGGTGATGGTGAGGGAAGGGGTAGACACAAGAGGGAAATCAGTGATTTATTCACAGATATGGAGAAAGTTACAAAAGTTGAAGTTTTAATATTTCTGTCTAACTGCAGCCGATGATAGCTCTGAAATCAGTGATTGTTAGTAAGCACCTTTGTCTTTTCCTAACTTAAATAGGAATGCTCTAGTTCTAGGGGTTGTCAGACTTAACACTGTGAAGGGCTGGATAGTAAATATTTTCAGCTTTGTGTGCCAGTCTCTATTGCAGCTACTCAACTCCGGTGTTGTAGTGTAAAAGTAGCCGTAAGATGATATGTAAATGAATGGGTGTGGCTGTCTTCCAACAAAATTTTATTTATTTATTTAAAACAGTTGGCAGGCTGAAAATAACCCATGGGCGTGGTTTATAACCCATGCTCTGATATTTCCCAAGTAAGAATGATTCTGGCTGATTTACACACACAAACAGCACAGGTTGATTTATACACACACACACACAACTTTTTTTTTCTAAATCACACTAAGGAAATATCCCCATTAATACTTTATAGGTTTTTAGCAGGAATATTTGTCAAATTTTATCAAAGTTTTTTTTAAGCATCAGTGGAAATTATCATAGTGATTTTTCATTTTTCATTGACCTAATGGTAATGAGAAATTATCTTTTTAAAATTTTTTACATTATTTTTTAAGATTTTATTTATTTATTTATTTGACAGAGATCTACAGAGAGCCAGAGAGTACAAGCAGGGGCAGTGTCAGAGGAAGAAGGAGAAGCAGGCTCCCAGCTGAGTAGGGAGCCTAGTGTGGGGCTCAGTCCCAGGATCTTGGGATCATGACCTGAGCCAAAGGCAATAGTTTAACCGACTGAGCCACCCAGGTGCCCAAGGAATTATTTTGTTAACAAATTTCCTGATAGTTATCCTGGCTTCTTGAAATAAACAAAAATGATCACATAGTCATAGTTTGTTGTTTTAATGAGCTGCTGGATTCTGTTTGCTAATATTTGACATAGGATTTTTACGTTGAGATGCGTAAGTGCAATTATGTCTTTTATCTGGATAAGTGTGATACTTGCTTGGCTAAAACAATGTATATGTGCTTCTTTTTAGCCCTTTGATGTTTATCTTATTTATTCCTTTAAAGGTTGTTTAAATATTTTACTTAAATAGCTTATTTTAAAGATTTTTAGTATTTTCTTATGAAACCTAGGCTTGTGTTTTATTGTGAGGTAGTATCTGTTAATTTAAATGTTTTTTCTGGTAATTGGTTAGTTCTAATTTTTAGTCTCTCATGGAATCTATTTTGGTAGATATATTTTCATAACTTTCACCTTGGACTAACATTAAAATTTGTACTTCTCAAAAGGTATAAATTTCCAGCTTGAGATGAATTCCATAAGGTATAAATACATTAGAAAATCTGTAAAGAAAGAAATTTATGAACGTAATTGTTTTGACAGTGATTGAAAATGGTGGTTTTTTTCTCATCTGATTTTATGTTTGATCTTCTTGAATCAATATTAATTTACTAAGTATTATTAAATTGTGATAGTAATTTTTCATTCAACAAATACTTATTTAGGATTTAGTATGTACCAAGCATTGTGCTGGATTCTGGAATTAAATGAGCAAGACAAACTAAGATTCCAGCTTGAAGCTTACACGGTGGTGGGAGAGGCAGGTATTAAGCAAAATACAAACTTGATGAATTACAAACTGTGATAATGACTGTGAAGGAAAGAAAACACTCATATGATAGAAAGCAACTAATAGGCACCTATGTTTTTTTTCCATTTTTATTTTATTTCGTTTCTTTTCAGTGTTCCAGCATTCATTGTTTATGTACCACACCCAGTGCTCCATGTAATACGTGCCCTCCTTAATACCCATCACCAGACCCTCCCAACCCCCACCCCCTCCCCTCCAAAACCCTCAGTTTGTTTCTCAGAGTCCACAGTCTCTCATGGTTTGTCTCCCCCTCCAATTTCCCCCAACTCATTTCTCCTTTCTATCTCCCACTGTCCTCCGTTTTATTCCTTATGCTCCACAAGTAAGTGAAACCATATGATACTTGACTCTCTCTGCTTAACTTATTTCACTCAGCATAATCTCTTCTAGTCCTGTCCGTATTGATACAGAAGTTGGGTATTCATCCTTTCTGATGAAGGCATGATACTCCATTGTACATATGGACTATATCTTCTTTATCCATTCATCTGTTGAAGGGCATCTCGGTTCTTTCCAAAGTTTGGTTACTGTGGCCATTGCTGCTATGGGGTACAGATGGCCCTTCTTTTCACTACCTCAGTATCTTTGGGGTAAATACCCAGTAGTGCAATTGCAGGGTCCTAGGGTAGCTCTATTTTTAATTTCTTAAGAAATCTCCACACTGTTTTCTAGAGTGGCTGCACCAACTTGCATTCCCACCAACAGTGTCAGAGGGTTCCCCTTTCTCCACATCCTCTCCAACACATGTTGTTTACTCTCCTGTTAATTTTGGCCATTCTCACTGGTGTAAGGTGGTAATCAATGTGGTTTTGATATGAATTTCCCTGGTGGCTAACGATGATGAACATTTTTTCATGTATCTGTTAGCCATCTGTATGTCTTCATTGGAGAAGTGTCTGTTCCTGTCTTCTGCCCATTTTTTGACCCGATTATCTGTTTTGTGTGTGTTGAGTTTGAGGAGTTCTTTATAGATCTTGGATATCAGCCCTTTGTCTGTAGTGTCATTTGCAAATATATTATCCCATTCCGTGGGTTGCCTCTTTGTTGACTGTGTCCTTTGCTGTAATAGGCACCTATATTAATTAGAGTGGCCAGGGAGTACTTCTCTCAGGAACTGACCTTTGAGCTGGGATCTAAAAGATAAGAATTCATGGTTGAGAAGAGCTTCCTGGGCAAAAGGAAAGGTAAGAGCAGAGGTATTAAAAAGAAAAGGGCTTGATATGTTTAGAGGTAGTGGGGCTGAAGTGAAGGAGTGAAAAGATGAGTGATAGGAGATGATGTGGCAGGTACCAAACTATGCAGGATATGTAGCATCTGGAATTTATTCATAGAGCAGGGAGATTTAAGTGGACAGTTAATTGCATAATTGATCTGACACAAATTTTTAAAAGATTCACTCTAGTTGCTTTGTCTCCAGAATGAATTAGAAAGGTATTAAAGTATAAAAGAGAAAAGAAAGTTGGACTAGCCCTTGGACTAGTGAGGATTAAAAAAAGTAAACAAGTTTGAGAATATTTTTGAGTTATAAATAATAGGAGCGATTGAGTGTGAGATGAGGGAGAATGAGAAATCAGTTATGGCTGGGTTTTTTGGTTTGAGCAGTGGGTAGTTGTTACTGTCATTGAGATGGAAAGTAAGAACTCTTTTTGGAAGTTTTAAGTGCCATTTAGACATGCAGTGTAGATGGTAAGTAGATGCTTGAATATTTTTAAGCTTAAAGGAAATGTCCCAGATTATAGTTAGATATAGAAATGTATGACTACAAACAGAAACATTTATGGTAGTCATCAGCTACTTGCATTGATACTGTACAATAATAAAGGCCAGTAGTTCATTAAAAAAAATAAAAGTGAGGGATGGTTTAATAAGCACTCCACCCCGTGGAACACACAAACACAAAAAATGAGCATGTAGTAGGCTACAAAGCACAGATTAACACATTTCAAAGAATCAGTATCCTGCAGACTATATTCTCTGACATAATGCAGTTAACTTAGAAATAAATAATAAAAATACAAAAATTTTAAAAATCCATACATTTTAAATTGTTCATCCTTCTAAATAACCACTAGGCAAAAAAATTATAACTGAAGTTTAAACTGCTCTCTACTTGCTGATAATGAGAATACCACCACAATTAAAATTTGAGGGATGCAGTGAAATTGGTAAACAGAAATTCATCTTTCTAAATGCTTAAGTTAGAAAAGAAAAAAACCTGAACATGGAGGAACTACGCATTTAACTTAAAATAGAAAAGGAATATGAAAATAAAGAAAATAAGGAAATAAGAATTAGAATTAGGAAAGATAAGAGCATAACTCAGTAAGTTAGAAAAGAGTTATGATAGAAAGGATCAAAGAAATCAGAAGGTGATACTTTGAAAAGATTAAGAAAAATAGATAATCCAGTTGTATAGTGAACAAGAAAATAAAGACAAGGCACAAATAAATAATACTGAAATACAAAAGTGTACACAGCCACAAATACAATAAAGACTGGATAGAGTAAAAAGAGTACTGTGAATTTTGTACCAGTAAATTTGAAAACTTAGAAGAAACTGATAAATTTCCAGGAAAATAGAATTCACCAAAACTTATGGGAAGCCTGAATAATAATATAAGTATTACAGATACGTAATCAGTAGTTTAAAATCTTACTGTGAAGGGGCGCCTGGGTGGCTCAATCAGTTAAGCGTCTGCCTTCAGCTCAGGTCATGATCCTGGCTCCTGGGATTGAGCCCCACGT